AGCCGGAGATATGGTCAAGGCACAGCTCATGTGTGCAGATCACAGGGTACTAGCAGGCTTTGTGGGCTCATCACTCAGGCCTAGCATGCAAGAGACCTCGTTCACCCACTCCTACCGGAAAGAGAGGAGAGAAGTCTCCAGGAGGATATTCCCAGGGAAGGGAGCAATTTAATTAATTATGTTTTTCTAGATCAAATGATCGTTTTAAATACAAGTGGGAGGTGGATATTTTTTGCTTTGTCTTCTGAAGTGTAAGGTAAAAAAACCTTTTTTTGTCCTCTTGTAAAGTTGAATCATTTTATGCCATGTTAATTTGAGATTTTGTGTCTTAAACAAAGGAGCTCACATGGTCAATGAGCATAGGTGCCAGTACATCTTGGTGCTTGCATTAGGATTTTTGTTTGGTTATTTTCCTGTTTCCCATCTTTTAAAAACAAGAAATACTAAAGCTGTAAGAGTGGCTAAAAATGAAACACTTCTAATCACCATCCGGGAAGAGGTGATCTTTTTGGAAGGACTAAGAGTGTGTTGGTGGGCAAGACAAGGCATTCCATTCATGTGAATAGGATATGGGATAATTCAAAGAGAAAGGGACAAACTGAGTATCTAATCTCGTATTGTTGATTAAATGGGCATAGGATCACAAGTCAAATATAAAGCGTAGTGGAGTTGTGTAGGCCTTTGACACTGAAGAAAGAAGTTTGGATTTGGTGGTGATGGAAGACTCAGGGAAATGTAGGACATTATGATGAACAGTGCAGTTAGACCAAGAATCAGAGTATTAGTGTTAGGTAACTATGCCATGTGTAAGGAAAAACAGTATAACAACAACAACAAAATCAAAAAAGCATGAGTCCAGAAAACAAAATGAAATAAATATATTTAGGGTTTATTTTTCACAAATCTCTGAAAACTATTATTTGGGTACTATTCCAAAAAAGCTACATCATTTGTGGGTTAGGATACAACTCAATACAAATGGCACATTTGTCTTTGTTCATATTGCATCACATTTTGAATATAAAACTATTAAGCATTTAATAATATGAGGCTATGTCTACACTACACTGTTCTTCCAGAAAAAAGATGCAGAGATGCCGAAAAAGCGCGTCTGCTCTTATTGGGTACTATTCCAAAAAAGCTACATCATTTGTGGGTTAGGATACAACTCAATACAAATGGCACATTTGTCTTTGTTCATATTGCATCACATTTTGAATATAAAACTATTAAGCATTTAATAATATGAGGCTATGTCTACACTACACTGTTCTTCCAGAAAAAAGATGCAGAGATGCCGAAAAAGCGCGTCTGCTCTTACGATGGAAAGAACAGATACATTCCCAGAACACAGCAGAGTTTTTCCGGGATAGAGGTATCCCAGAAAAACTCTGTAGTGTAGACATAGCTTGGGACAGGCACTGTACAATGCCTTAAATTAGCTAGATCATGCCTTGAATAGCCTGTAACATAGGAGTATGAGAGTATGATGCAAAATATTGAGAATATGAGTAAGAGGAGGGATTAGGCTGATTCTCATTGGAGATAGATTTGCAGGAATCCTCAAAATTCAGTAAAAAGAACAGGTGGCACAATCCATAAGTTTTAAGAATCGAGTGATGAGTTCATGTCAAATTATTTCACTTAACATGTAGCACTGATGTGATTAAAGTAACCAAGTCATTCAGTACTTTGAAGTAACCGGTACAAATGATTTTGCATAATAGGGAAATAAATTAAAAAGCAGACAACAGGAGAGAGGGATAAAGAGTCTACTTAAAAAAGTAGAAGACTTTTCCTTTTTGGGACTTTTAATGCTCTTAATTCCCAGTCTCCATCATTAGGCAGCACAAAGGCATGTGAGTACCCAAAGGGTTATTAATTCAGGCCTGAGGGCGAGGCATTCTACTTATGTTAGTAGCAGACCTCAAAGAAAGATACAAAAAATATGTTATTTTTAAAAATGGAAGATTGAATGGTAAGAATTCTTCTGGCCAGAAATGGAAAAGAGAAAAGTAACTTAGTACAGTAAGTAGAATGCTGTAGTAGGGGTCAAACAGGGCCCCAACACACCAATCAGGTGGAGGACTCTGAAGTTAAACGTAAGTGTACGGTGCTCTGACCTAGTGCTTTCACCAAATGTGCAAAATAGTCCATAGATATGTGCAAAGTCTTTATATTAATAGTAAATCTACATACAATCAGGCATTTTAACATGAATTTTAATCTAGCAAGCCTTTTTTTAATCAATTGAACTTCTGTTTTAATTGACTTCTGAAAATGAAGCAAGGGC